GAGAAGTATCTGGGAGTGAGGACTCTATGGTGTAGCCTACTGATATGACCTACTGATATGACACCGAGATAGTAAGTGGCTACACATTCGAGAAACTTTTTCATACAACTGAAAAAGGAACTTTCATTGGTAGCCATCTTGAAATCCAATATGGCAGTCTTCTAACATAATTGCCTGATGATTGCATGATACTCTCTGATATTAAAAACATGGTTAAAGGTATGATTGACTGTGTTACGTTACTGTAGATATGAAGCTAATGACAAAAATAACAATATTTTGGCAGCCATCTTGAAATCAAATATGGTGGCCATTTGACATAATTTCTGATGATTGCATAATACTCCCTGATATTGAAAACATAGGTAAAGACCTCTAAATGACAGTGCTAGGTGCTGTAGATATGAAGATTATTGATAAAAATCCAATATTTTGGCGGCCATTTATTTCAAGATGGCGGCCACTAAGCGGCTTATTTTTTGGGGTCTATTTTTTTAATGATCCTTATGTGCCATAGTATCACTGTGGAAAGTTTCATGCTTTCTTCCAAAGGTGCACGATTTTTCTCCTTAGCCGCTCTACTATATTATGGTTCATTGTAGTAATTCAGCCTTTATTATTAGACCGTGGGTTGAGGATCGAAAACGTTCAATTCTGTGACCCACCAATCCGGGCTACCTGGCTTTTGCACAAATATGTCAATACTATTAAATTGTAACATAATTTGATTGTCGGCAATCGTGAATTTGGGGAAACTGTAACCAAAAATGAGAATTTATATCAAAAGTTTCTACGTAACTATAGCCAATCAGAAGATGACTAACAATGAAGTTTGGCTTAGCTGCAAGGCCCTCAGCCAATCACAAACTACCTTCTATGCCGTTTGTCCAATGTAAATAGTAAACAACACACTCCACTTGCAAGTATGGCGTTGGACAGAAGTTCTGGCCAGAGGTTCTTCAAATGATAAATCTGAGCCGGTTTCAGGCATAATTTTGTGATACATGTTGTAAGAACATAGAGTATAGTTGTGTCATTAAGCGTAAACAGCTTAAAGAAATTTAAGGATGTGCAACTCTGTGGAAAACAACAAACACGAGTCCTCAGTAAGGCCTATTTAGTTTCCGTCGAAGCTGATGAATAGCCTACATATAACGAAGGGGATCTGAGAGGGATGGTGGTGCAAGTAGTAGTAGTCAAAATTGCACCGATTCTGTTTAAAGGTACGTGTGTGGTTCCATATAACGTTAAAAATGGTATGGTATGTTTTACTTAATTGAGAAGCACTAAGCGTCTCTCTATCACACCACACACACAGACAGGAAGCCCTGCCTTCCTGCCTTTTCCTCAAACTGGGGTACTATCGACAGCAAAATAACCACAGAGTATTGTGAATCAAATACGATGATGTTATATTGTAATAAGCATATTGAGACAATAATGTTGGCAATGAATCGACCCAGCATAAATAACTGACCATGAAGACAAATCAAGAATAGCGATCCACAATATATAGCAACTATTTACTACTGTCTACCAAGAACAATTACTACACAAATTGAATCAATTCAGTTTTTTGGGGTGGGGGATGTGCACTTCAGAGACTGTGCTTAGGCTAAGTAATTCAGGCTTAATTTGATTTTAATTTCTTCATGAAAAGAATATAACAAAATTATTATATTAATAGTACAGTATGCTTTATCTACATAGGAATCCTTAGACA